TTGAACGGGTTCGTGTAAGATACAGTAGCGGCTCCCATTCTCGTTGTTGGAGATCTCTATAGACTTGACGGGGTCGCTACCGCTCCTAGTAATTGTAAAGTCTGCCTCGATGTTAATAATTGCCGTGCTGTTTAGTTTCCCTTGGGATCACTCCAACGAACGATCGAGGCCGGACCTAGAAAGGCGACAGCTTTGCCGCTCCCGTCAACTCCCTTCCTTCATACATTTTGCTGCTCATCTTTTCACTTCGCTCCGTCTCTGTCTCCATTTTGGCGCGTATACGTAGTATACCGCCTTTGCGATCGTTTCGACCCCCCACTCGATAGGTACAATAATCGAGTCCCTTAGTTCCTTACCGAAAAGTGACTACCGCGAACTTCTGAGATTTTCCAAAGCGTGTAAAAAGTTTACTAGTCCGTCAATAACAATGATTTAAATTTGTTTCTCATTCTGGGGCTTTCTAGTTTATGTGTAGGTAATGAATACCAAGAGTCTACGTTTCTTGTTTTTTTTTTTTTTTTTTTTTCTAAAAAAACCTAAGAATGCTCAGCGCTAATTTAAAATATGCATATATAAGCAGAAGCAAACGAACTGATTCGAGGATTGCTGAGCAGGCCAGCACTCTTCGAATGAGAATTTCACTCCTGCGTTTCGTTCATAACGTTGCTGTGACAGATCTCCACACCCCTGTTATGCTTTTCAAAATTTGGTACCATTGCTCTGATAGCCAGGGCAGCCGTAAGGGCAATCTGTGATGAGCCTCGAGACTCATCAGACCATTTGCTAAACGCGGCTCATACAGGAAGCTACTTGCGCACATATAGAAATCTACCTACCCCTATCTACCCCGCGCACCTGACCCTAGCGTCGGCTTCTCGAAAGAAACAACAAAACCCGGCTCCCGGCGAGCGGCCGCTGAGACCTTTTTACTCACGCTCGATTAACCATTATACCGTCACGCTAGGATTTGTCCAATTTTAAAAAAAAAATTGTTTCGCGTATTTTTGGCAATTTTTCCCTTACTCTCCGTTAAAACACGAATTAAAAGAGGTCTCATTCATAAAAATCGGCCAAATAGAAGAGAATTTACAGTATTCGAAATCCGAAGAAATCAACAAAACCTCGACCTCCCCATGCAAAAAATAAAATGAAGGGGGAAAAAAGAAATGTATAAATTACAATTAAATATAATTGACCTCAGAATTTGACAAGCAATTCCATTATATAACGGAAAAAAATTGGGAGTAATTACGAAAAAATCGCCTCTTGCAAGGGGCTTCCTTCTAAGAATTTTGACCTGAAGACAAGGGTCGAATACTGCCGTGCTAAGGAAGAACGCCATATGTGCATTCGATAGTTACCAAATTTCTTTCGATAAAATGTTTAGTGTTGAGGAATATTATACATTTTTTCCTTTGAAAATTGCAGACACTTTAGATCAAATTACTAACAACATTATCTGAGAAATTCGTAGAAAAATATTAATAAATGTTCCTATAAATTAGTGATTTGCCTGAGGAAATGTGGCAACGCCTGAAGGCTCATACGGCGTTTTTCCTTAGCACGGCAGAATAGCAGCAGTACTCCATACAATACACAGTGTGCCTCAACGAGTTAAACATGTTTTATACGTCCAGCAGGCCGGTTATTTTCCGCGTCGATATCCGAGTCGATAAGTTAGCGACTCACAGATAACGACTGAATTCTAACGACGTCCTTTAGCCGAGCGATTATTTACATCAAATTTCGCTGATCGTTACTCATCGTTCGATAACTTAGCGTCGTTAAGTTAGCGATCTGGATCCCAACGTTGCCGACGTGAGAGATAATAAACAACCAATCAGAGAGCGTTAATGATACAAGCAGCGCTCCAACTTCGCGGCGGCGTAAGTTGAAAACAACACATCTCTTTTCTTCTCGTCACGCGGGTATGTTTATAGGCTAGGTTAGCAAATCTATGGCCGAGATCTATGAAAGTAAATAATTAGCCTGCTGAAGAATGAACAGTCTCGGAGGAAATTTCGTTGTGAGTTTCCACAAATTCGTATTTCAGATCATATTAGATAGTAACAACACTACTTCCCTCAGAATCCTCCGTTGCGATGTATTTGTCGCATGCAATCAGTCAATTCAGGCATTTTATCAAATGCCTAGGCAGACATTCAAGTTTTGACTGTTGACGAAATTTTGTAAATTTACAGCGAAAAGGTCAGGAGTTTTCAATATTTTTGGAAGAAAAGCTCATCGAATCTACGAACTCTTTTAATGTTTTCCTCTTCAAATGCTCCTGACGTATGTCAAAGTTAAATCTTGAAAATTTTGTATTTTATGACATACTGAAGCTTTCAAGATGAATGTTCGTTCAGGAGCTAAAAACGTTTAGAATACCATAAAACGGCAAATTTTTACAAAGAATTCTTTTCTACTCGAGCAATGAATTACCTATTTTGTCTAAAATTATGGAATGAATCAGAATTTCAATCAACGTAAAAGTATTTGACTCTTGGCCGAGGCATTTGACAAAATGCCTGATTTTGCCGTTTTTCTGCGGTATACAGGGTTATCCAAAAGTCACCTACCACCCCTGTAACTTTTTTCCTAATTGAGATAGAAGTTTGAAACTTTGGGAATGTTCCTCGGTTTAAGGTAGCAATTTTTTGGTCTCCCCCAAATTTTGGGGGGCGGGGGCTAACTTTTTTTTTCAAATGGCAACCCCCCTTTTGTGGTACCTCATTCGAAAGATAATAAAAAAGGAAAATTTTTGGCGCAAACTGCAGGCCAAAATGTTGATTTTTGACAAAATGGCGGTCGGTCAAAGTTCAAAATGGTGGAAATCTGGCATCTCTGTTTTTTATCGGCGGACTGGTCTGAAACTCAGAATCTTAGGGTTTTTCGGGACGAGAAAAACGATTCTGGCATTAGTTTTCCAGAAATGTCAGTCTTTTTCTAAATGGCGGCAGATTAAAATGGCGGCTTAGAGCGGGAAGTGGATATTTAGGCTGCTTATCGTCGGATTTGTATGAGACTTGGTATCCGGGAGTATTCCGGCACGATGATTCTTTCATTGGATTTTTGAATTTTCTAAAAACTTTAAAATGGCGGCGAAAAAATGACGGAAAATCCATATCACGGCTGTTACCGATGGATTTGCACAAAAGTCAATACTCTGGTGGTTTTTGGCTCATAAAACATTAATCTTTCATTAGATGTTTGAAACACTGAAAATCGTCAAAATAGTGGCGGAAAAATAACGGACAATCCACATCCACCATAGCCATTTGCATTTTTTCTGCGATTTTAAAGTTTTTTAAAAATTCAAAATTCCAATGAAAGATTCGTTTTTCTCGTCCCGAAAAACCCTAGGATTCTGAGTCTCATACAAATCTGTTGTTAAAAAACGGAGATGCCAACTTTGACCGGCCGCCATTTTGTCAAAAATTAACATTTTGACCTGTGGTTTGCACCAAAAAATTTCTTTTTTATTATCTTTCGAACGAAGTATCCTAGAAGGGGGGTTGCCAATTGAAAATAAGTCAGCCCCCGCCCCCTAAGGGGGGGGGGGGGGGTCGCCCCCCCCCCAAAATTTTGGGGGGATCAAAAAGTTGTTACCTTAAACCGAGGAACATTCCCAAAGTTTCAAACTTCTATCTCAATTAGGAAAAAAGTTACAGGGGTGGTAGGTGACTTTTGGATAACCCTGTATGCATCAACGTATACAGGGTGTACCAAAATTCCGTCCCACCCCTGCTAACTTTTGAACGAATTGAGCTAGGGTAATGAAACTTTGGGAATGTGCCCATCTCAAAGGGGACCATCTTTTGGGGGGGGGGGGTCAAAATTTTGGTCGCCCCTCAGGGGGGGCTTTTTTTCAAATGGCAACCCCTATCTTGTGATACTTCTTTCGTAAGAGCATAAAAAACTAAGAATTTTGGCGCAAACCGCAGATCAATATCTTAACTTTTGACCGAGATATGATAGTTCAAAGGTCAAATTTGACCTTTTATCAAAAAATTATAACTCCGGTTCAAATTATCGTAAAGAAAAAAAAAAAAAACGGGAAAATTTACCAAATTGTGTCCGCTCTTAAGTAAAAATTGCAGAAATTACTTCGATTTAATTTTAAGGAGAGGCTCCGACCCCCAAATACGTCAATTCAAAGGTCATTCATTTTTCCCGCGAAATAAGCCAATTTCTCCTAGATTTGCCTCCACATTATCTCAATATGGTCAATATCAGTTCAACATTACGTTGGCATGTCCCCAAATTCCGGGAAAAGTTAAAAAAAACGAAATTTATACGGTCAAGATTAATTACCTTAAATTTCGTTTTTTTTAACTTTTCCCGAAATTTGGGGACCTGCCAACGTAATGTTGAACTGATTTTGACCTTAATGAGATAATGTGGAGGCAAGTTTAGGGGAAATTGGCTTATTTCCAGGGAAAATTGAATGACCTTTGAATTGACGATTTTGGGGGTCCGAGCCCCCCCTTAAAATTAAATCGAATTGATTTCTGCAATTTTTACTCAAAAGCAGACACAATTTGGTAAATTTTCCTGTTTTTTTTTCTTTATGATAATTTGTACCGGAGTTATAATTTTTTGATAAAAGGTCAAATTTGACCTTTGAACTATCATATCTCGGTCAAAAGTTAAGATATTGATCTGCGGTTTGCGCCAAAATTCTTAGTTTTTTATGCTCTTTCGAATGAGGTATCACGAGATAGGGGTTGTCATTTGATAAAAAAAGTCCCCGCCCCAAGGGGGGACCAAAATTTAGAGCCCCCCAAAAGATGGTCCCCTTTGAGATAGGAACATTTCCAAAGTTTCGTTTCCCTAGCTTAATTCGTTCAAAAGTTAGCAGAGGTGGGACGGACTTTTGGTACACCCTGTATGTAATGTGATAATGGAGCTTAGCATCACTTATTTGAATGATTAATCACTCAAACCGTCCTCTGCCTCTCTGTCCCTTTTTGCAGTGATACTATCTTTCTTTCTTGCAGAACAAAATCAGTCAGTTGAAAGAGCTTCTAGAAACTGATTGGAAACAACACATCAATGACAAAGATTTTGCAGGGTGGACTCCATTGGTGAGTGCACATTGAAATTTTATGAAGGCTGTTTAATAGTAATGTTCAACCATGCCCTAATTTTGAAGTTCCTGTTTCAATTTTGTGCAAATATCTTTCAGAAACTTCAGACGAAGGATCTTAATTCAGTTAAAACTACTGAAGGAAGACTTCCCATCGCTTACGAGGGTTTTTAAAGTGCATTCATTAATTATTTATCACTCAAACATAGAGAATTTAGTCCTAATTGATAATGTCGTGACAACCTTGTTTCGTGGTTATTTTTCGCGACAATCGTCGTTATACTTCCCAGAATGAGGGTTAATTCTTCCCGGCCAATTGTTTTCTTACAAGTAGTTTTCAAGTGTCACTAAAATTTTTCCATGTCAAATTTTAATTTTGTACTTATATTATTTTACGAAGCAAAATGAAAAAATCTTTGTGCAAATTCTGAACTGTGCAGTATAATGCCAAGGCCTGTGTTGCAATAATAGTGGGGCGGATTGGCATAACAATCGTGCATTTCTGGATACAAGCATGAAACTTTCAGGAAGTCTTCTACACTTTTGAAGAAACGAATTTAGCCAGGGTGCTCAGTTTTACAGGGTTCTAGGAAGACTGAGAGGCGGGGGGACCCTAAAGTCATAAAATTCGGGTTTTTTGTGACAAACTTCTTTCACAAGTGGATGAAACTAAATAAATTTGCGGAGTTTGCAACTTTAAGGCTACCTCAATGCATATGGAAACAATTTCAGCCACTAATCCTCCAATTTTCACCAAAAGGGCGCTTGAGAGAGGAGGGGAGAGACTTATATTTCAAGTCCGTGATTTTCAAAATGCGTGAAATGCGTGAATGCGTGATCAAGGCTTATAACGACTGAATCAATAAAACACGATAATTTTACACTCTCAAACTGTTTGGAAAGTGTTGATTATGTGGATCTATGCTAGAGAGCAGCACTCGTTTATATTTCTCAAGCTTGTACAGGGTGTCCCAAAAGTCCGTACCCCCCCCCCCCCCCCCCCCCCCCCCCCCCCCCCCCCCCCCCCCCCCCCCCCCCCCCCCCCCCCCCCCCCCCCCCCCCCCCCCCCCCCCCCCCCCCCCCCNNTTGCCCCCCCCCCCCAGGAGGGGCGCGGGGGCCCCAACTTTTTTTTTTTTAAATGGTAACCCCTATCTTGTAATACATCATTAATAAAAAGCATATAAAATTAAGAATTTTGGCGCCAACCGCAAATCAGTATCTTAATTTTTGACCGAGTTATGATAGGTCAAAGGTCAAATTTGACCTATTTTCAAAAAATCATATCTCCGGTTCAATTGAAGAAAAGAAATGCAATAGTGTATTTTCTTCGGAAAGTACACTAAAAACGGGAAAATTTATCAAATTGTAAGCACTTTCAAGTAAAAACCACAGAAATTACTTCCAACTAATTTACGGGGGGTTTCGGACCCCCAAATACGTCATTTTAAAGGTCATACGATATTCTTGCGAAATGAGCCAATTTCCTTTTACTTTTCCTCCACATTATCTTAGTAAGTTCAAAATTGCGTTTTCAAGTCCCCAATTTGCGGCCAAAGTTCAAAAAACGAAAGTTAAGGTGATTCAATCCAACCATTTAAATTCAAATTTTTTTTTAAACTTTGTTCGAAATTTGGGGGACTTGAAAACGCAATGTTGAACTCATTTTGAATTTACTAAGATAATGTGGAGGAAAAGTAAGTGGAAATTGGCTCATTTCGCGAGAATATCGTATGACCTTTCAAATAACGTATTTGGGGGTCCGAAACCCCCCTTAAAATTAGTTTGAAGTAATTTCTGTGATTTTTACTTGAAAGTGCTTCCAATTTAGAAAATTTTCCCGTCTTGTTTTTTCTTTACGATAATTTGAACCGGAGATACGATTTTTTGAAAATAGGTCAAATAGGTCAAATTTGACCCTTGACCTATCATAACTCGGTCAAAAATTAGGATATTGATTTGTGGTTTATGCTCTTTCTAATGATGTATCACAAGCTAGGGGTTACTATTTGAAAAAAAAAGTTTGGGGCCCCCGCGGCCTCCCCGAGGGGGGACAAAAATTTTGACCCCCCTAGAAGATGGACCCCTTTAAGATAGAAACATTCCGAAAGATTCGTTTTTCTATCTCTAACCGTTTAAATGTTATGGGGGGGGGGGGTACGGATTTTTGGGACACCCTGTAGATTATGGAAAAAGTGTAACAGGACGTGTTCAGTAATTCGTAATTCTTGCATTTTTGGAAACTAGAGAGTGCACATAGTTCACAGGAATTTTCCCCGATTTTTTCGAGCAATATTAACCCACGAAATACGAGTCCAAAAGTCCGTATTTTGAGCTCCCACTTCAACGCGCGCCGCTTGGCCCATCTCAAAATGGCGCCCATTCGATCCGTCCGGCGGTGGCCACACTTTTGACCCAGCGTGCCGGCGAGGTACCTCTGCATGCCTCTGTCGCGTTTGGGTCGTATAAACAAACGAAGATTGATAACACAAATGATCCAAACAACTGGAAATCTCTTAATTTTAATTAATTTAAATCAATTTTCGACTTCAACCAAGTTTTTGTCAATAATATTCATCGTATTTTACAACCTGGAGCCACGGCCTATCGGCTCACTTGAAGGTGCATTCTGAAAATCAGTTCTACAAGTCCAATGTCCAAACCCAGACTTTCTTCTTTTACTTTTTTTTGACCATTCTCTTTTCATTTTCGCCTCAAATCAAGTGTTTTGCAGTTTCTTTGTCTTAAGTATGTGGTCCTGAATTCATTCAAGAGTTAGAAGTTCACTATTTATTTAGTATTATAGCTTTTTGACCTCTCAAGCTTTACCACTATGATCTCATGTAGTTTGCGGTTTCTTTGGCCCAAACCAAGTGATTACACATTTGATGTGTGTCTTGTGGCTCTTCAAATTCGCAGTTTAGAACTAAATAAGAGACTACAGTTACTTAATCCAGTTCTGCTCACTTGTTTAATGTATGTCATAAGTGTTTGTTCGTGTCTGTTCTTTATAAGTGACCACTGTAGTGCATATACACAGTTATGCTATTGGTACAGGTATTATTTCTTGTGTTCTACAGTCAGGACTTTCTCTTAAGCGCAATAATTTACCAAAGAAATTCACCTAGTTACGTATTAATTTGGTATATAGATATTCTGTTAATATCTCCTTGCGGTGATGCAAAGTTTGTGAGATCTGTCGTAAGTGGGTTTTGCATTTAGACGGTCCCTCTTGTCTGATAAAATTACTGCTCTAGCAGCTTCAAATTTATACTTTGATCTCTGATTCATCCCTAAATGACACTCGTGCGGTGTCATTTATCTTAAATCAGTTCAAAGCTATTTCGACAATGAATCATCAAAGGTCTGATCGAAGAAGGAATTTTCTGGTGAGTGCTGCGGCTGAACCGACATTACAACTCAGTTTTCAAAAGCATCAACTTATAAAAATTTATCAGGAAGTGATAATGGTAAGTGGAAATCATGTTAGTGCTCGCTTCTTACATAAGCAAATTGTGCGCTCAAAATTTCAAAATCTACTCACGTGCATGTATATTTGAAGAGGAATACGACATGATATGTAGCTGGCTACACTTCATCCATGAATTATATGTAAATTTGTCTTGAGAGTATTCTTAGGAAACTTCCACAATTTTTAGTTTTGTTCCTGAGAGAAAATTTTGAGGTGACTCTGCTGGTATTCCCAGTGTCTTTTCAGAATTTTTGTACTTCATAGGTATCATCAAAAACTTAAGTATCAACAGATATTGTACAAGCCAGAAAAGTTACATGAGGATTCCTGCTAGTATGTTGTGTTTCCTGCAGCAAGAAGGCTCATCATATTTCATGGAATGAAGTGATCAAAAACTACTTACTTACCTACAGCTTGATCAGTTTCGTGTCTTTCTAGAGTAAAGAAAATATTTTTTTTCTCTCTTTTTAAGATCTCTCTTTTAAATGCTGAAATACATGGCCCGAGGAGTGGAGGGACATTATACCTAGCAACACTGGACGAGCCCTTCTTATCTAGAACTCGGGGGGCTTATATGTAGCTCGTTCAGGTGCTTCGGTTTCATAAAAATTCCCCTTTCGCCTCTCGTTGCCCCCCATCGAATTTATCTCGTCGGGCTCCTTCCTATGTTTTGCGATTTGCGATTAGTTCGAGAACTATTCTCTAGCAGTTGCACGGACTTCCACCCTCGATCCGCGTTGTGGCTGTGTCATTCTTATTCCAAGCATATTATATATCTGTATATTTATCATCATATTATTAATAGGCAGCGTCCGATTAATATATATCGGACTTTATCATGCAAATAAAAATATCGAAAGTTTGAACGAACATCGTTTCATCAGGTTTAAAAAAGGTGCAGTCACGGCTAAAACAAGTAGTCTCGAAATTCTACCGCCGACAGAAGATGCCGCCAAATTGCACGGTTTTAGAGCATTCCTTCAAATTCAAACGTGGCTCGGTAATGCACTCTCGCCTTTAAATTGGGGGTGGAAATTGGATCCGCAGCTTACTCCTGTACGAACCACTTTAGGGCCTGCACCTAAACAAGTTTTGGACGCAATTTTCTGTGGCTGTGTTAAGGGTTGCAGAAAATCGTGCGGTTGTAGAAAAACAGGCCTGAAATGTTCAAACGTTTGCTTGCATTGCAACGGCATCTCGTGTGATAACTCGCTTGTGCTTAATACAGACGAGTAAGAAAAAGAAGAAAAGGTCAATATGGATGACGCGAGGGCAACACTAGAATTGAGCGGCAATAAGGGGGAAGAAGAAGGAGAAGAAGATAAACAAGAAAAAGAGATGGAAAAGAAGAGAGAAAAAGTTGTAAGCAATTACGCACTTAGGCCAAAAAGACAACGATTATTTTAAGACTTTTCTCTAAGTTTTACAGCTGGACATTCCTTCAAAAAAGTTATTGGGCAACCACTTGCTCTCGAATACCTAAGTAATTGTAATTAATTAGAATACACTGCTTTACAATGATTATTAAGTGAAACAAATCGAAAATATTATTTGTGATTAATATACTGATCATTTGTTCTTTAGCACGGTTTTATAA